TACTCCCAAGTTCAGCCGTTGAGCACTCCGAGTGCCAGGGCAAGAAGTTTTTCTGAGAGTTGGGAACCTGGCATTGGATGCCAATGCTTAAAAATAGTTCTTCTAGGCTATGAATGGAATAGCAATAGGGTTACCAGACCTCAGTGCTCAGAAGGTAAAAGTAAAGTTTTCCCCTTGACATTAAGTCTAGTCAAGTCCGACTCTGACGGGTGGTACTCATCTCCATTTCTAAGGAGCTCCATTGGATGCCATTTACCTACCGAGCCCAATTCAAGGTGCAGGTGCTTACCTACAAATCCCTAAACGGTTTGGGACCTGCCTACCTGTGTGACCGCATCTCCGTTTACGAACCCACGTGCTCCCTTCGTTCATCCGGAGAGGCCCTGCTCACGATCCCACCTGCGTTGCAAGTGCATTTGGTGGGGATGAGGGACAGGGCCTTTTCTGTGGTTGCCCCCCAACTCTGGAACACCCTCCCCAAAGACATTAGACTAGCACCCACGTTGGCAGTCTTTAGGAAGAACTTGAAGACTTGGTTATTCCGATGTGCCTTTCCAGAATAGGATAACCTCCAGCACTTTGTCCCAGAAGCACTTTATTAGAGTTTAATACTCTCTGCACATTGCACTTGCCCTGAAATCCAACACACCACCTCACACACCCAGCACTTTTAACCTGTACCCATCATTGGCCCGGCCCTGATTTTATTGTGTAATAGTGTAATGTTTTGTTGTGTTATTGCTTATGTTTTAATTTGCTTGCATTGTTATTGTTTGTTGTTGTTATGTTGAGGCCTTGACCTTTGTAAGCCGCATCGAGTCCTTCGGGAGATGCTAGCAGGGTACAAATAAAGTTTAATAATAATAATAATAATAATAATAATAATAATAATAATAATAATAAGCTGGAGAGCCCGCATTGTCCATGACTGCATGGAGCACCGTTACCTTCCTGCCAAAGTGGTACCTGTTGATCTACTCATATTTGCATGTTTTCAAACTGCTAGGTTGGCAGAAGCTGGGGCTAACACCGGGAGCTCACCCAACTCCCTGGATTTGAACCCCCAACCTTCCAGTCAGCAAGTTCTGCAGCTTAGCAGTTTAACCTGCTGCACCACCATGACCCCTCAATGCTCAGAAGCAAAGGTGTAAATCCTCTGGTTTGGGAAGGTGGAAGAGAAAAGGGATGTGCGCAAACCTACACGTCAGCTATTGCAACACCAGTTTCATGCACTTTGCAAAGCTTAATGGATGTATTACTGCCTCTTGCAAAGACTCTCCAAAGGCAATCGGTTTTTACATTTCCAGATTTAACTTTTGGCAATTTGATTAAAGTTTTCTCAACAAATATGCAATGCACATCAATACATATTTTCCCCCTGTGTACAATGCATATCCATGAACTAGGCACCTTCTGTTCTGCATCTTTGAATTGAATGTGAATGGTCCACATTGGTCAAACATACATGGATCATGTTGGTCATGGTTGGACACGGACTGTAGCTTCTCTCTTACGGCTGAGGTTTAGGCATCACAGAAGGGTTAACTCTAGCACATATCTTCCTTTTTCACTTTGTACTTTCAAAAAAAGAAGAAAAAGCCTGGAGAATTTGTTTATTTATTGACAAGTATTTATTCAAATTGGTTACATCTGTTCTGTAAATGTCTCCAGGGGAGGGGGAGAAATTGCTGCTCATGAACATTTACATAGTATTTAATGAACTATAAATTAAGCATTTATGCATCGGGTAGAAAGAGTGCTCTTACATGCATGATGGAAGGGTAGCTCGTATTTTATTTCATTTTGTTTTTTTCTCTTACAACTCTCTGAGGCTTGATTGCAAAATGTGGAACCAGTTCAGAATATACAGAACCAAGACCTACAAGGTCTCTCTTCCCAGGAGTCCTCCTTTTCAAATTTGTTCTGTATACCCACTCTAAATACATTGTGGTCTGCAATTCACATGTGGGCTCCTGGAAGGCTTATATAGCCCCAGACTGGAATTCTGGGCCTTCAACGTGTAGCAAGAGAGATTTTACAGGCATATTTCATCCTTTTAGTTTCTGTTTGCTTTTTAAAATATTTTCCGTAGAATCATAAGAACTGGAAGAGACCACAAGGGCCATCCCATTGTGCCATGCGCAAAGCACTCCTGACAGATGCCCATGTTTTAAAACCTCCAGAGGAGACTCCACCAGACTCGGTTTTATTTTGCAAGTTGCATTAGGTCCCACTCTGGGAGAAAGGCAGCATACAAATGAAATAACAAATTATTTATTTATTTATCATGTCAGAAGCAAGTTGAGGGTACAGTTAAAATGCATTTAAAAACACAAACAAAATTTAAAACTCATACTAAATGCCCTTTGACCAGTAGCTGGCCACTTGGAGTGCCTCTGGTGTCGCTGTGAGAAGGTCCTCCATTGTGCATGTAGCAGGACTCAGGCTGCATTGTAGTCAGTGGTCAGTGGTTTGCTCTTCTCCACACTTATGGACTCCACTTTGTAGCCCCACTTCTTAAAGTTGGCTCTGCATCTTGTGGTGCCAGATTGTAGTCTGTTCACAGAGGTGGCCCTAGGTAATTTTCAATGGTAAGCAGGGGCGGCTCAACCATTACGCAAAGTAAGCATTTGCAGTACAGTTGATTTTGCCTAGGGGCGCTCTTGTGGCGCTCTTGGGGGAAAATAGACCTTGACATATGCGAGTTGTAGTTTACTGGGATGTATAGTTCACCTAAAATCAAAGAGCATTCTGAACTCCACCAATGATGGAATTGAACCAAATACGGCACACAGAACTCCCACGATGAACAGAAAATATATATCAATGATTGGTTGGGGGGGAGCGCAAAATACTGTTTGCTTACCGTTGAAAATTACCTAGGGCCGCCTCTGATGGTAAGCAAACAGTATTTTGCCCCCCCCCCCCAACCAATCACTGATATATATTTTCTGTTCGTCGTGGGAGTTCTGTGTGCCATATTTGGTTCAATTCCATCATTGGTGGAGTTCAGAATGCTCTTTGATTTTAGGTGAACTATACACCCCAGTAACTACAACTTGCATATGTCAAGGTCTATTTTCCCCCAAGAGCGCCTCAAGAGCGCCCCTAGGCAAAATCAACTATACTGTGAATGCTTACTTTGCGTAATGTGTTGAGCCACCCCTGTCTGTTCAGCATCTTCGAGGATGCCCCATCTTCTGTGTGTCCAGGAGGAGGGACTTGCTCATCTGGTCTAATAACAAATAAATAAATAAATAAATAAATAAATACATCCTACCGAACCTGGGTAATGAGGTTGAAAACTGACTTCTACATCTTCTTGCAGTTGGCTGATTTAGAGATTGGTTTGGTACATGTTGTGCTTGTGTTTTACCTCTGGTCGGATACAGATGCCCCTCAGTGATGGTTTGGGCAAGTCACTGGATGCAAACCACAGGCAATCATGTAATGTTAGAATATAGTATATTGCTGCAAGTATGTTATAGCTATGTTATAGACTTTCCAGAGAATCCAAATAATGTCCAGTCAAGAAGAGTTTCAAAGAGTCTTTAGGGATTTATAGAATGGGTCTATGGCCTACTGGAAACTGACCATTGAATTCCAATGGAGGATGTCAAGAGGTCCATTGGTTTGATTCTATAGTCAACTTCAGGAGAATGTATTGTCGAAGGCTTTCATGACCGGAATCACTAGGTTGTTTTAGGTTTTTTCGGCCATGTAGAACAGTGTTTCTCAACCTGGGGGTCGGGACCCCTGGAGGGGTCGTGAGGGGGTGTCAGAGGGGTCACCAAAGACCACAAGAAAACACAGTATTTTCTGTTGGTCGTGGAGGTTCTGTATGGGAAGTCTGGCCCAATTCAATTGTTGGCAGGGTTCAGAATGCTCTTTGATTGTAGGTGAACTATATAACCCAGTGACTACAACTCCCAAATGTCAAGGTCTATTTTTCCCAAACCCCACTAGTGTTTACATTTGGGCATATTGAGAATTCGTGTCAAGTTTGGTCCAGATCCATGATTGTTTGCATCCACAGTGCTCTCTGGATGTAGGTGAACTACAACTCCAAAATTCAAAGTCAGTGCCCACCAAACCCTTCCAGTATTTTCTCTTGGTCATGGGAGTTCTGTGTGCCAAGTTTGATTCAATTCCATCGTTGGTGGAGTTCAGAATGCTCTTTGATTGTAGGTTAACTATAAATCCCAGAAACTACAACTCCCACAGGACAAAATCAATACCCTCCCCCAATCCCACCAGTATTCAGATTTGGGTGTATTGGATATTTGAGCCAAATTTGGTCCAGTGTATGAAAATACATCCTGCATATCAGATATTTACATTACTATTCATAACAGCAGCAAAATAACAGTTATGAAGTAGCAATGAAACTAATTTTATGGTTGGGTGTCACCATAACATGAGGAAGCATATTAAGGGGTTGTGTCATTAGGAAGGTTGAGAACCACTGCTCTAAAACATGTCCATATAGCCCCAAAAAACCTACAACAACCCACTTCAGGAGAATGTTTCACTAGAAAACCTAGATATTCCTTGAGATAACATTTTAATCAAATCCATGAATAATCAAATTTGCAAAAGTCAAACCCACTAATGTGGAGGGCTAACTGGGCTCAGCATGCCAGTAACATACTGGTTGAAGAAAGCTTTGGATAACGAATGTAGTCCATTGTGAATGCTGAGGTCTAGCACTGCTTAGACTCACAGGGAAATCTTCCTTGCAAGCAAGAGGATGAGTAGAATGTTTGTCACACCTTGATTAAAATGTGGCTTGGCTACTAGGAGGAGGTCAGTCATGCTAGAGTGTTAGCTTCAACTGACCTGACAAATGGAATAAAGATTTGTTTAGCCACCATTTTCTCATATCTGGTTTCAGAGTATGTTGTTCTCTTTTGCTCGACCTGCAGATGTTTGTACGCTGTGCTTGTCTCTTTTTCCCACTCCTTCCGAAATATGGTAAGCATCTCTTAATTTTGTTCCAGAAGACAGAAAACTCTTTGTGGGCATGCTCAACAAACAGCAGTCAGAAGATGATGTCCGCAGGCTATTCGAAGCATTTGGGAACATTGAGGAATGCACGATCCTTCGGGGACCAGATGGAAACAGCAAAGGTATGTCTGACATGGTTGATTATCCAACTTTAATTGCATTCCCTGAAATGAGCTCTGGTTTATATAGCCACACTGCATCGCACAAGTTACACTTGTGTGCTTCCATCCTGAGCTTTGTAGTTTGGTAAAGTATTTACATTTCTCTGCTTAAAAGCTATAGTTCACATCCCTGCACATCAAAGTAAGGATTCTGTACTTTCCATAAGTGGTTTTTGCTTCCTGGTGATCTTATAGGCATTTTCCTTCTCTTTGTCTCCTTGCAGGGTGTGCGTTTGTGAAATATTCCTCACATGCGGAAGCCCAGGCAGCCATTAACGCCTTGCACGGAAGCCAGACAATGCCGGTGAGTACCAGCCTATTTGTTGGATAGTTTGGCTCATGCTTACAATTGCACAGAATTGACTAGAACAGTGGGTCTCAACCTGGGGTCCCCAGATGTTTTTGGCCTACAATTCCCAGAAATCCCAGCCAGTTTACCAGCTGTTATGATTTCTGGGAGTGGAAGGCCAAAAACATCTGGGGACCCCAGGCTGAGAACCACTGGACTAGAATATGGCAATATGGTCTGGTATGGGAGGAGATCCATGCGGAGGACACCATGAGTTACTGCACAAGAAGACACTCAGGTATTTATGACTTGCTAAAGAACCCCTAATGTACCCTCATTCCTCACTTCATGAAGAGTGCTCAGGATTGCAGAAGGGTCTGTACATAGTCAGATGTGAAATGATGACATTAACACCGAGTTCCACCAGGATCTTCTAAGCCAGTGGTTCTCAACCTGGGGTCCCCAGATGTTTTTGGCCTACAACTCCCAGAAACCAGAGCCAGTTTACCAGCTGGTAGGATTTCTGAGAGTCGTAGACCAAAAACATCTGGGGACCCCAGGTTGAGAACCACTGGACTAGAATATGGTAATATGGTCTGATATGGGAGGAGATCCATGCAGAGAACACCATGAGTTACTGCACAAGAAGACACTCAGGTATTTATGACTTGCTAAAGAACCCCTAATGTACCCTTATTCCTCACTTCATGAAGAGTGGTCAGGATTGCAGAAGGGTCTGTGCATAGTCAGATGTGAAATGATGACATTAACACTGAGTTCCACCAGGATCTTCTAAGCCAGTGGTTCTCAACCTGGGGTCCCCAGATGTGTTTGGCCTACAACTCCCAGAAATCCCAGCCAGTTTACCAGCTGTTAGGATTTCTGGGAGTTGAAGGCCAAAAACACCTGGGGACCCTGGGTTAAGAACCACTGGACTAGAATATGGCAATTGGTATGGGAGGAGATCCATGCAGAGGAACCATGAGTTACTGCACAAGGAGACACTCAGGTATTTATGACTTGCTATAGAACCCCTAATGTACCCTCATTCCTCACTTCACGAAGACTGGTCAGGATTGCAGAAGGGTCTGTGAATAGTCAGATGTGAAATGATGACATTAACACTGAGTTCTACCAGGATCTTCTAGGCCATCCCCAGATGTTTTTGGCCTACAACTCCCAGAAATCCCAGCCAATTTACCAGCTGTTAGGATTTCTGGGAGTTGTAGGCCAAAAACATCTGGGGACCCCAGGTTGAGAACCATTGTTCTAGGCATCTTGGTGCTTCTGTGGTAATTTCACATCTGGCTGAGTGGACAGAGCCAGCCACTTCTGCAATCTTGCTCATTCCCAGTGAAGGAAGGAATTGCCATCAGTGGGCAGTTTCAGTGGCTCAGCAACAAGGTCTCCATATATTCAGAAGTGCAGCCCATATCTGCTTATGTTGTAATTCTCTCCATCTTGCAACCTGTCCTTAGTCCCTGATAATGAGGGATTGGTGGAACTAGACCTGCCACTATCCCACTCATCATGTTGGGTGGAGATAATGAGAACTGTAGTGTTACCCATTTGGAAGGTTCAAGGTTGAAGCAGACTGCTTTAAGCCATTGCTTGTTTTCGTGTGCTTTCAAATCATTTATGACCTATGGTGAGCCAAGAATGAGAGACCTCCAAGTCTTTAACAGCCCTGCTCACATCTTGCTTCCCTGACTGAGCCTATCTAACTGGGATGTCATCTTACTCTCTTTCTAGTCCCATCTAGCTTACCAAGATCTACTGTCTTGGTAAGGTAGATCATTTCTTCTAGTGATATGACCAAAATACACCAGTCTCAGTTTCATCATCTTGAATTCTAGGGACAGGTGAGACTTGGCTTGCTCCAGAACACACTTCTTTGTCTTTTGGGTATTCCGTGGCATCCATAGAACCCTCCTCCAACTCATTTTGAATGAGTTGATTTCCTTCTTGGAACAACGTTACACCACGCTGGATCTTTCTCAGTCACATTCTATGGAGGTTCATACTGCAACATAAGGCAGCCCCTTCTTCTCTTCTTTCTTCTCTTCTTTCCAACTTCACCAGCTGCTTTCCCAGCTCTGAAGTTCTTCTAATAGTTCAGGCAATTCCGTCACCACTTCCTTCTTCACCCGCATGTTCTGCCAGATGGGGCCTCCATCATCATTCTTGTCAGATCTGAAGCCAGTTGCTCCTGTGGCAGGCTCCTTCTCCACCACAGCTGTCAGGATTATTGCTCTGCTGTGGCTTCCTATTCACACAACATATGCTCCCTAATAGTTTCCAAAAAGGCAACTTTCTTTGGTAGAAATGCTGTTTCCCTTCTCTCACTATTCCCTTTCTTCTGTTTCATGGACATCAGGCTGCCTGGCACCTGCTATATATCAAGTAGCCATTTTTAGATCATTCATGTAAGAACTCCATTGCTGAATCAAAACATAAGAAAGTACACAATTGAATGTCACTGTGTATATATGGCATGTGGAAGGTCACACACCCCATGATCTTGCTGGGACAAACCTAGTGGGCACACTGCTGGTCAGAATAGATAATATTGGGCTAGATGCTAACACCTGGAATCATACAGAATCATAGAATTAGAAGAGACCACAAGGGTCTTCCTGTCCACCCTCCCACCATGCAGGAACACACAATCAAAACACACCTACCGGATGACAATCCAGCCTCTGCTTATAAACCTCCAGAGAAGGAGGCTCTAGCAGACTCCCAGGCAGTGTATTCCACAATGTTGCCCATCAGAAGTTCGTCCCAATGTATAGGTGAAATCTCTTTTCCTGCAATATAAATCCATTTCTAATGTGTTGTCTCCAGATCCTGTTGTTAACCAACACAGACATAAGCACATGGGTGTGCACTCATAAATTGTGCAAGGAGAAATGTGCATCTTCCCATAACTACCTCCCCACCTGCATCTTACTATTGCAAATGTTATCTGCCTGAATCTCAATCCCAGCAGTTGACATTACAGGTGTTCTTCTGTTGGAGTCTTCTAAGGGTCACAAGATGTAATTTTTTCACATTTGGCTATAGGGACATGGTCAAACATAATGAGTTTTCTCCTCTTCCCACCATTCTCACTAGACATGGAAAGCTGGGGAGGGTGGATAGTTGTGACTCTATAATAGAACTGGGTGCATCTATTAATGGAAAGCAGACGAGAACACCAATCTCCAGTGACCAAAAGAAGACATGTCCTTGTGGACAGCAAGTTAAACATGAGCCAACAATGTGATGTGGCGGCAAAAAAAGCCAATGAGATTCTGGCCTGCATCAATAGGAGCCTAGTGTCTAGATCTAGGGAAGTCATGCTACCCCTCTGTTCTGCCTTGGTTAGACCACAGCTGGAATACTGTGTCCATTCTGGGCACCACAATTCAAGAGAGATATTGACAAGCTGGAATGTGTCCAGAGGAGGGCGACTAAAATGATCAAGGGTCTGGAGAACAAGCCCTATGAGGAGCAGCTTAAGGAGCTGGGCATGTTTAGCCTGATGAAGAGAAGGCTGAGATGAGATATGATAGCCATGTATAAATATGTGAGAAGAAGCCACAGGGAGGAGGAAGCAAGCTTGTTTTCTGCTTCCCTGGAGACTAGGACGCAGTGGAACAATGGCTTCAAACTACAAGAAAGGAGATTCCATCTGAACATGAGGAAGAACTTCCTGACTGTGAGAGCTGTTCAGCAGTGGAACTCTCTGTCCCAGAGTGTGGCGGAGGCTCCTTCTCTGGAGGCTTTTAAACAAGGGCTGGATGGTCATCTGTCAGGGGTGCTTTGAATGCAATATTCCTGCTTCTTGGCAGAATGAGGTTGGACTGGATGGCCCATGAGGTCTCTTCCAACTCTTTGATTCTATGATTCTATAAAGTTGACTTTCACCTCCATGTGACACTAAGGGAATGGCAGCCAATGAGTTACATTATACAGCAGTTCAGTGATGGGTTCTCATTTGCCCATAGTGATACCGGTAGTATGACTGGTGCAGTATGGATACACAGCAACACATATACCTCTGTGTGAGTGCAGAGGCCTTCACTTCACCTGTTGGCATGGTGAACCCATACATTTTGTAGGCTTTTCTTAGGCAAGGAACTTGTTGAGATGGTTTTACAAGTTCCTTCCTCTGAAATATATCACAGAGCACCTGGGATTCATTAGAAATCTCCCATCCAAATACAAAATACAAGAGAGGAGATTCCATCTGAACATGAGGAAGAACTTCCTGACTGTGAGAGCCGTTCAGCAGTGGAACTCTCTGCCCCGGAGTGTGGTGGAGGCTCCTTCTTTAGAAGCTTTGAAACAGAGGCTGGATGGCCATCTGTCAGGGGTGATTTGAATGCAATATTCCTGTTTCTTGGCAGAATGGGGTTGGACTGGATGGCCCAGGAGGTCTCTTCCAACTCTTTGATTCTATGATTCTATAAAGTTGACTTTCCCCTCCATATAACATTAAGAGAATGGCAGCCACTGAGTTACATTACACAGCAGTTCATTAATGGCCTCTCATTTGCCCATAGTGATACCGGTAATATGACTGGTGCAGTATGGATACACAGCAACACATTTACCTCTGTGTGAGTGCAGAGGCCTTCACTTCACCTGTTGACTTATGGTGACCCCATACGTTTTGTAGGCTTTTCTTAGGCAAGGAACTTTCAGAGATGGTTTTACAAGTTCCTTCCTCTGAAATATATCACAGAGCACCTGGGATTCATTAGAAATCTCCCATCCAAATACAAAACAAGACTGACCCAAGTTCAGATGGGATCTGGTGCCTTTAAGGCACCTAGGCCATGTATGTATCTACCCACACATACTTGTTCTTGAACTGAATGCACCCATTCCTTATTGGATTAAAGCAGGCAATTGCTCACATAGGGAAGTTGATATAGACATAAGGTGATACGGGGGTGTGAAGGTGATACAGGCATCAGTGTGTATCTTTGTTGAGGTCGTACCCTCTTGTAGCACACAGAAAAATA